TTATAGGGGGACCTCTTATTTCTCTTTCTATTCCATGCCACATCATTTTGTCTTATCCTTTTCTTCCCAATCTTTCATCTGTTTATTTCTTACTTTCCCTCTTAGATCACTTATCTATGTTCTAACACCTACATACCCTCCTTACCTCACTACTTATCACCCTATACCAATCTATCTTTTCCCTGCAGATATTCCATCATAATATAAATATTTACATTCTCTCTCATCATATTCCCTATGTTTCCATACATCTCCTCATCTACTCTACTACTTCTCTTCCCTCATTTACCTATTTTTACAACATCTACACTCATCCCTACTCTCCTATTCTCACACACCAATAATCTGTAAGAGTTGTTGTATGTAAATGGATGAATCATATCAATTAGTATAAGTATAAACACTCTTACTCAAGTTCTGTATATTACTAATTAATGACCCTAATGTTGTATTATTCCTTCTTCTTTTTTTGTATGATATTAAAGTTGCCCCTTAATATTCTTACTAAGATGTATTTAAATAAGATGATTACCCCTGACATATCTCTCAATAATCAAAGGCCTCTTAACAAAATCTGATATAACTATCACTCTCTGGAAATCCTCCAATAGACAAACTTACAATATTAGCCATAAGAAGAATTCTTACATCCTTCAATTCCAAATATACAAGGGAAAATAATGCTTTATATTTGTTATTCACTACATATTTAAAGATATTAAAAACTTTAAATTATTATTTTAATAGAATCTTTGGTCCTTCTGTTATTGACATTAATAAAGAGATCACTTAAAAGCTATCACAACATAGTTGTGACTGTCTTACCAGTATCAACAATGATTAGTAATTCATTATTTTTCCTAGGTCTTGTTTTTACTAAAGCTTATAATATAACATCACAACCCTCTTAATATATGTCTTTTACATTCCTCGTTCTTAATCCTATTTCTATATATCAAGTATAAAGAAAAACTAAGCAAAAAAAGAAAACTAACGCCATAAATAGTATCTTAAACTAATCTGTTTTTTTCTTGATTGTTAACTATATAAAGCGATTCATACCATGCAAAGAACACAACAGCTGAAAAATTGCACATGATATAAAACTCAAAACATAGTCGTTTAGAACATGATGTATATATATTTTGAAATCTGAAGTTCATTTTTTTTACAATGACTCCAAAAATCAAATTAACATTGTTAAATCTTATGTACGTCGTCTCAGTTGGAATTACATAAGAAGTATTGAATATATAAAGATAAACAATGTTAATTCTGCTGTTAACTATTCTCTTGTGACTGCGCACAAATATTGTTCTATCTTTTTATTTTAAGAATGAAAAAATTTAATTAGGCTTACAGAAAAAGCAAGTAGATAAAGAAGACAGGCCATTATTAAGTTATCTTGACAACATCTGCTACTTTTGAGATATGAAGTTGCCGAACCGTTTTCTACAAACCCTGCCTCTAAACAAAGACGAAAGCTAGAAAAACCCAGAATATTATTTCATGCCCGATTTTTATCATGTTAGTACGATATAGATATATATGTCTCTTTGTGTTCTATTTTTAAATTTTTGTCCCTGAATTATTTTAGAAAACCCCCACTCCTATAATTTTAAAAACACCTCACGTTAGCACAATCTTGTTTAATACATATATCGGTTCTATCCAAATACTACGAAGATGCAGTAGCAATTCTTACTAATCAACACTATCTGCATGACGAATTTTCAGTAACCAAAACACAACTTGGCATTATTGTAATTTTTTGGAAAACAGAATGAAGAATTTTTATATCTCCAAAAAAGTAACATCTATACTTGTAATGTGAATTCAAATTGGTGGTGCTATATCAAAATAAAAAAATTGGAAGTATTAGAAAAAATTGATTATTAAAACTACACATTTGTGTTAATATTCCCTTCATGTAGCTAACATGTCTACACGACATAGCTGGTACAATATAGTGTTATAGATATTGTAAGACTTTTTAGAAGCAAGATAGAAAAAATACCATGGAACGGTGGGTTTGCTTTTTTTTGCTTTATAACAGGCAAAAAATGTACACAAAAAGACAAACACAACGTTTTTGAAAATTTTTTCTCATCTATTATTGTTTATGTTTAGCTAACTCAACTTTTTCCTTTTTTTCATAAAAAAATTTTTTGCTTGTGCGTTCCAGTAAAACAGAAAAACATGCTCTTGTCATGTAAACGCATATTCAGACCAATTACCACAGAAACCTCATTTCACTTTTCAATTATTCTGTAGTAACAAAAGCAAAGAAAATTTTTGGCAAAAGTAAAAATACTTAATTCCAATTTCTAACCGGTTAAATTTTGTCTACATTTGGACAAATTTTTATCTGATTGTTTAACTTTTTTAGGGTAAAAAACCACAACAAGTTTGATTGTTCAACTCTTCTTCTAGCAAACGAGGGTTTGAACATAGTTTTGCAACTCGACAAAGAAACTAACTTTCTGCTTGAACTTACATCAAGATGAATAAATTATGTTTTCCTGTTTCTAATATGAATATAGTAAGTAAGTAGAAAAAACAAGTTATTATCTTCTTTAAGAAGGCTATTCTTCAGTATTTATCTAATTTATAGTATTTATTTGTTGGAATGTACAATTCCACAAGCAAAATAACCAACAAAGTTTATTTCTTTTTTTAGTTAGCAACCGTCCTAGAGTGATTGTTGTTATTTTTTGTCCAAAGGACTTGTGTTAGGTTTTATTTTTAAATTGTAAGTCAATTCTTTACAAAAGCCATAGAACTTTAGGGTTGTTTTTAAATTGTCATTTTTAGACATATCACGAAACTTAGGAATAAAAATACCTCATTTCAGTTACTAACAGAAATATTCCTAAATACTAGTACAAGAAGATGCTTTGGACAACAATAAATCCCATAATCTAAAAATAAAAAACATGCTTAAAAATAGTTCATTGTATACTATCTATTATAGTCATTTCATTCAACCACCAATTGGCAAACAAAAAACAAAAAGAAATACTCTGTTATCAAGTCTTGCTACTTTAAAAAGATACAAACTTTCTATCATCCTTTGACCTAGTATAAATAAACAACATCATAACAATAGGTCAAATATAATAATAATCATCTTTTTTCTTGTTTGTCTTAAAATTAAACCAAATATCTATCATTAAACGACATTGTAAAAGATTTTAAGGATTCCACAAGGTATACGTCATTTTTTCTAGTTCAATAGTACTCCTGCATGTCTTAGATATTGTGTATCCGAAAAGAAGAAAAAACACTCCACTTAAATGGGGAATTTTGAATTTTACAAGTTTTATTGTTCTTATACTAGATCGGAAAAAAGAGAAAAAAAGCAGAAATAGGAATATCACACTAAAAAGTCTAATTGAGATCTAAATCTGCCAGGAGAATAATCATATTTTAGATCTCTATCATAATAGATGTTCTAATAGAACAATAATAACTTTAAATAATAAATTCTTGGTTAACAAAAGAACAATTTTACTACATGCTAACGTCATATAAGGTGCTGATCCTTGCAATACGAACTAAAAAAAGAAAAAAAATTGTTGATGGTTCTTATAGTATATAACTTTATATAACTTATGTATAAACAGTAACAATGCAATAAAAATTCTTTACCCCTTTTTTAAATTATACATTCCTATTCGATCCCACGGTCACTGCCAAAAATTTTAATATTCTATTGTGAATGAAGTAATAAATTTTGAACATTCTATAGATCGATTTACTATAGAATATTGTGATATGTATAAAAGAAATATAGACACCAAATAACTAACTAATCAGGGGCGATGATCCTGTAAGAGTGGGGATTCTCTAAAATAATTCAGGGGCAAAAATTTAAAAATAGAATACAAAGAGACATGTATATCTATAGTGTGGTTAGAATTGTCTGTATTGTCTCTTTTCCCACTTGTGTAATTTTTTTCTTCACTTTTATTCTTTTTGTCGTTGCATCAAATACAAAGACGAGTGTTTCCAACACAACAGCAAAAAGGAAAAAAAACTATTTGTCCATTCTTAAATTTGTAAACTTTCCCTTTTATGTTCTTCAAAAGTAAAGTATCTAGACAAAACTAATTCTATTGTCCTGCAATGTGAAAATGTCTAAACAATAAACAATATTTTTAATTCTATATTTGGAAATGTTTTTGAGGACTCAACATTTTCTGTTTCCTTTTTCGTTTAAAGAAATCACTACACAGTGATATTTTTTTCCTATTAGAAATAACAGAATGATTGACTATGCTGTGTTTCTAGGTTTTACTTAGATTTTTAGTCCAATTGTTGAAGATTACAGATCTTTTTCTTCATTCTTTGTTTCTACTCCTTTACACACTTTTATTATTGAAGATTTATTGCAAAACTTTATTTATATCTTATTCTTGTTCAGTCAAAAAAACAGAACCTATTAGACAATCATTTTTATTGTAAGTCATGAGCACATTTTTATATAAAACTACTATGGATTATGTCTGAATATTCTTTCGTTTCTTGCTTCTCTTCTTGCAGGCATGAGCATCATCTCGTTATACTTCTAGATGCTACCAGTATAACCGAACTAAGTACATCACCTCAAATAACCAAAAAAACTAACGCCATAAAATATACACACCAAACTATATATTTTACTGAAAAGTCAATAATTCTGAATATTTGAAAATAATATAATGGTCTCAAGTGCCTTACCATTGTGCGCGGCACTGCTTTTAGCTGCTTTTTCTGCTGTATCGAAGGCACAAGTATCTTATGCTGTTACTACTTATACTGCACCAGTTTCTGGTTATTGGAATCCGGCTACTATTGAAGGTGAGGGTCCTATTGTAACAGTGGACAGAATAATTTTTAATAATCCGTATAATGCATCTAATGATGCTAAGTGTTTGTTGACACCAGAACAAAAGGCGGCTGTTTTGGACCTAATGAATAAGTACAGATCTATGTTTGTTGACACTCCTAATTTGACCTGGTCTGATGCTTTAGCCAAACGGGCTGCGTGGTGGGCTTGCAAATTTGATGTATACAAGGACATTCCAGAAGACCCTCCAGATTACGACTACAATATTGGTAAAAGCATGTACGCAGGAGCTGCTGCTAATCCAGTCGGTGCTGTAGACATGTGGTTTGATGAAATTAATAGTTATAATTACAGCCATCCTGGCTTTTCCTGGCCAACTGTACATTTTACACAGCTTGTTTGGAGATCCACCACAGAGGTTGGTTGTGCTGCAAATTTATTTTGGCCCGCTTTTGACGGTTCGCCCAATCAATACTTTGTTGTGTGTCAGTACTTACCTGCTGGTAATATGTTTGGTCAATTCCCTGAAAATGTTATGCCTCTGAAACCAGCTTATAAAAGTCTTCATTGGTCAACAATTCATTCGGCAACCGCCCCCATAAATTGGACATCTATGTCTCTATATCAAAAAACACATACTGTAGCTCCAATTACTATAACTCCGACATCAAATCCTAACCCTGTTTACACAATACCTTTTGGAGATTGGTCAAACTTTTTTCCATCAACAGCCCAGATAACTTATATAAGTGCCACTGACAGCTCAACCACCACTGCAACAACAACTGCTTCGAAAAACGGTCATAGTTCTGGTATCGATGCTACTGAAAGATCAACCACTACTTCTAAAAAATCTGCCTCTAGCAACAGTCATAATTCTGCTATTGATGCTATTAACAGATCAACCATCACTTCTAAAAAATCTACCTCGAGTAACAGTCATAGTTCTGCTATTGATACCACTGACAGATCAATCATCACTTCCAAGAAATCTACTTCAAGTAACAGTCATAGTTCTACTATGGATGCTACTAACAGATCAACTACCACTTCTAAAAAATCTACCTCAATCAGTCATGGTTCTGCTATGGATGCTACTGACAGATCAATCACCACTTCTAAGAAATCTGTCTCAATCAGTCATAGTTCTGCTATAGATACCACTGACAGATCAGCTACTACTGCAACAACATCTACCCCAAGCAACAGTAATGGATCTGGTATTGATGCTATTAACAGATTAACCACTACTTCTAACAAATCTACTTCAAGCAACAGTCGTGGTTCTGCTATGGATGCTACTGATAGATCAACCACTACTTCTAACAAATCTACCCCAAGCAACAGTAATGGTTCTGCTGTTGATGCTACTAGCAGATCAACCATCACTTCTGAGAAATCTGCCTCAAACAGTCATAGTTCTGCTATGGATACCACTGACAGATCAACCATCACTTCTAAAAACTCTGCCTCAATCAGTCATAGTTCTACTATTGATGCTACTGACAGATCAACCTCCACTTCTAAAAAATCTACCTCAATCAGTCATGGTTCTACTATTGATGCTACTGACAAATCAACTACCACTGCAACAACATCTGCCTCTAGCAACAGTCATGGTTCTACTATGGATGCTACTGACAGATCCACTGCTACTTCTAACAAATCCACCTCAAGCAACAGTCGTGGTTCTACTATGAATACCACTGACAGATCAACTACCACTTCTAACAAATCTACTTCAAGTAACAGTAATGGTTCTACTATGGATGCTACTGACAGATCAACCATCACTTCTAGTAAATCTACCTCTAGCAACATTCATGGTTCTAGTGTCGATGCCACCAACAAGTCAACTGCCACTTCTAAGAAATCTGCCTCAAACAGTCATAGTTCTACTATGGATGCTACTAACAGATCAACTGCCACTACTAACAAATCTACCTCAAGCAACAATCATAGTTCTGTTGTTGATGCTACTGACAGATCAGCTACTACTGCAACAACATCTACCCCAAGCAGCAGTCGTGGTTCTGCTATTGATGCCACTGACAGATCAACCACCATTTCTAACAAATCTACCTCAAACAGTCATGGTTCGGCTATGAATACCACTGACAGATCAATCATCACCTCTAATAAATCTACCTTGAGCAACAATCATAGTTCTGTTGTTGATGTTACTGACAGATCAACCACCACTGCAACAACATCTACTGAATATACTAAATATGCATTGACTCCAGAAGAACAGGCTGCTGTTGTTCTCGCACACGATAAGTTGAGAGCTTTGCATGTCGATACTGGTAATTTGACCTGGTCTAATACTTTAGCTGTATATGCTGAGAAGTATGCTGCCGTTTATGATTGTTCATCTGGTAGACTTGTGCACTCTCATGGTCCATACGGTGAAAACCTTGCCCTGGGATTTCCTAATGCAGTCGCTGCTGTGTACGCCTGGTATAATGAAATTGCCCATTATAATTACAGCCATCCTGGCTTTTCCATGGCAACTGGACATTTTACACAGGTTGTTTGGAGATCCACCAAGGAGGTTGGTTGTGCTGTAAAATATTGTGGCCCCTATTATCGTGATTATGTTGTTTGTGAGTACGCACCTCCTGGTAATTATGAAGGTGAATTCCCTGAAAATGTCATGCCTTTGAAAGCATCTGTTTCAAGTAGTACTTCCAGGAAACCTAAGTCATCCTCTACCCCTTCTGCTACTTCGAAGAAATCTACCTCAATCAGTCATAGTTCTGCTATGGATGTCACTGACAGATCAACTACCACTTTTAACAAATCTACTTCAAGCAACAGTCATGGTTCTGTTGTTGATGCTACTAACAGATCAACCTTCACTTCTAAGAAATCTACTTCAAACATTCATGGTTCTACTATGGATGCTACTGACAGATCAACCACCACTTCTAACAAATCTACCTCAATCAGTCATGGTTCTGTTATTGATGCTACTGACAGATCAATCATCACTTCCAAGAAATCTACCTCTAGCAACAGTTGTGGTTCTGCTATGGATGCTACTCACAGATCAACCATCACTTCTAAGAAATCTACTTCAAGCAACAATCGTAGTTCTAGTATCAATGTTACTCACAGATCAACCTCCACTTCTGAAAAAGCTGCCTCTAGCAATAGTCATGGTTCTACTATGGATGCTACTAACAGATCAACCATCACTTCTGAAAAATCTACTCCAAGCAACAGTCATGGTTCTACTATGGATGCTACTGATAGATCAACCATCACTTCTAAGAAATCTACTTCAAACAGTAATGGTTCTGCTATGGATGCTACTGACAGATCAACTACCACTTCTAACAAATTTACCTCAAACAACAGTCATGGTTCTAGTATAGATGCCACTGACAGATCAACCATCACTTCTAAGAAATCTACTTCAAACAGTAATGGTTCTGCTATAGATGCTACGGACAGATCAACCACTACTTCTAAAAAATCTGCCTCTAGCAACAGTCATAATTCTGCTATTGATGCTATTAACAGATCAACCATCACTTCTAAAAAATCTACCTCGAGTAACAGTCATAGTTCTACTATGAATACTACTGACAGATCCACTGCTACTTCTGACAAATCTATCTCAATCAGTCATGGTTCTACTATTGATGCTATTCACAGATCAATCACCACTTCTAAGAAATCTGCCTCAAACAGTCATGGTTCTACTATGGATGCTACTGATAGATCAACCACCACTGTAACAACATCTACCTCTAGCAACAGTAATGGTTCTACTATTGATGCTACTGACAGATCAACCTCCACTTCTGAAAAATCTACTCCAAGTAACAGTCATGGTTCTGCTATGAATACTACTGACAGATCAACTACCACTGCAACAACATCTACCTCGAGCAACAGTCGTGGTTCTGCTATTGATGCTACTTACAGATCAATCATCACTTCTAAAAAATCTACCTCAAGCAACAGTCGTGGTTCTGCTATTGATGCTACTCACAGATCAACCATCATTTCTAAGAAATCTACTTCAAACAGTCATGGTTCTGCTATAGATGCCACTGACAGATCAGCTACTACTGCAACAACATCTACCCCAAGCAACAGTAATGGTTCTGCTATGAATACTACTGACAGATCAACCACCATTTCTAAAAAATCTACCTCAATCAGTCATGGTTCTGCTATAGATGCCACTGACAGATCAGCTACTACTGCAACAACATCTACCCCAAGCAACAGTAATGGTTCTGCTATTGGTGCCAGTAGTAAGACACATGCTGCTGGTGAAGCTGCATCTGCTAAAACAAATGTTGCTCACTCCGTCACAACCGCTACTGTTGAGAGCACACACACGGTAGATGTCACTGAATGTCCAATTTGCTCACTATCCACCGCTACCACTTCATTTTCTTCCCAAAACAGTCAAACTGTCCTACATGGTGAACCAGTGTTGAGAGTTAGTACAGTTTATACTACAGACGGTGTTGTTATCACTACATACACTCCTTCATGTCCAGAAAGTGCTAAGACAGGTTCTGTTTCAGCTTCTGCTGCTACTGCTACTGCACCTTCAGACGTAAGCATGGAATCTGCCCATTCCAATGTTGTTCCATCTGTAGGTGTTGCTACTTCTTCTTCTAATTCTGCGGAAAGTGTTACAGTTGCAAAATATGAAGGTTTGGCAGCTAGTTTGACCTCAGATGTTCTATTCAGCGCTATTTTAATGGCTCTTATTCATTTGATCTAATTATGATACTGTTTTAGAGAGGCATTTGAACCTGTACTAATAATTGACAGACGCTGTAATATATCATTTATTGTGATTGTCTGATGTTAGTATAAAAAAATTACAGCACCCGTTGATTATTAGTACAAGTACAAATGCCTCTTTTTTTTATACTAACCTTGATTTTATTTATTTACTTTTTGTATAAAATATTTTTTTTAAATATAATTTATTTACAGAACACTTTTAGTTGGTCTAATTTATTTTTACCTAAAAATATTGAATCTTGTCCTACTACTACGAGCATGACCTTAGTAGTCTACTTCATTCTCATCACCATGACGCTTTCCTTTCTTTACCTAAAAAGCATGACTACAGGGGTTGTATAAGTTATTGACCTTCTTAAATACAACTTTATGCGTCTCAAGGACGATATTTTTTTCATTTCAGTTGTGAAGAATACGTCACTATCTATATGGAATCCTTCAATGCTATCGTAGAGACCAAATATCTGAAGATCCTACTGAAATATATCAATGATCATATTTGATACTCTAAAGAGACAATATAAAACAATCAAACTACTCCAATAGATGTAAAAGTGAAAAGATCTGTATCTTTGAATCAAATACTGAATGGGAACCCTATATCTAAGAGAACTAAGCTGAATGGGAGTAAAATAAAAGGAATATCGAAAGACCCAGAGACTGTCGACCTTGTGGAACTACCTGAGCAGGTAGACCTCGATAACGTTCAAACAAATAAACCAAAAAATATTCCTGTTGGTGTTAATGTATCCAACGTCTCGGTGAAGACATTTCTAATGAGGAAACCACCAAAGTTTGATAGGCAAACTAAAATAGAAATAAAATCTTCAAAAACAAGTCGATATAAAAAAGATGTAGTACCCTTAGATGATTTAGAAAATACAGCTGATGAAGGAGATCACCTGAAAATCCAAGAAGTAATAGATTTGGAGAACGAACATTTTGAAAAATTGATTAATCCAAAAAAGTTAATTCAACCAATATCTAACATAAAGAAGACCAACTTAAAGGAACTATTAGTGAATATGAGAAACAATAATCTTAATACTACTACAAATACATATGATGACGAATATATTACAAAGTCCTTCAGGAGATACAACAGTGTTTCCAAATTAGATCATTTACTACCACCTTTGTCCCATACTCTGTTGACTGAACCATTTGAATCTTTTAATAATATCACTTCCAATAATAATGATATTGAACTAAAACAGTTGCACAAAAAGAATTCAAGTGTTATTTCGTACCAAATGTCATTATATATACTTGAAATGTTTACATCTAATTATATCTTAAAACTTAATAAAATATACAAAATAATAGAAATATAATATACACCCATTAGTTTTTAATATTTCACTTTGTATTATCTTTTCCAAAAACTATGTCATTAAATATTATTCATTTGTAAGTATTAATAGTATTATGTGAAGAATTTAGATGTTGTAATGTATAAATTATTTAAACGCATTAATAAAGGTTGGATTTCATATTTATTTAATGGTGAACTAATAAATTTTAGAATTCTATTTATTATGATATAGCAATAAATATTCTAGATATATATAATATTATAACCATAGGTAAGAAAAGTCTATCTGTTATTTTATTTGTAAAATAATATCCACTAGCTTTTGCCTTATTTTCTTTTTATTTAATTATTAGTATACTTATCAAAACTGTTGAATAATAGGCAGATAATCACTACTTTTTTATTTAAAAGTGATTTTTGTAGATCATTAAAACAACTTTTTGAAGAAAATATTTCAAGAAAAAGAAATAGTGAAGGATCAATGTGTGTTTGTTTATAAACACCATATATATTTTCTGCATAGTTTTTAATAAAATGGAGATCCAATTTGTCTAAGGCTCAAGTAATAGAAATGTTAGATATAAAATTCATTATTGTCTAAGATAAACCAACTATCTTCAATACTACTGTGCTAATCATCAATTCTATCATATGTGTTAAAATATAACTCCACATAAGTTATTGTCTCTATGGAACCTGATTTAAGTTTAACTTGCTAAAGTTAGCATCAATACAACACTGCCAATCTTTATCATTTATCAAAATATTTCAGTTGCAATAGATGCTAAAGCCTAGAAATTATTTGCATTCACTTATTTGGCATTTTTAACTATAATAACGTAGTCGAATTTAAGATTGCATAATTTCATGGTAAATAGTAGTTTTGTTTTCGAATCTTGCAATTTCCTTTTTGACATTTATGCAACTGGCACAAATATGTTGTTTTAGACTACTTTTGTGCATGACATCTTGCCTGTTGTTGTTTGGAACAAACATTGAGAAATTTTCCTTTAAACGACCACATAATAGCAAAATAAAAATTGGTTGAGGGCAAAACAGAAATATCTCACTCACATGAAACTTTCTACTTGCTTTCATCGTAAAATGGGCTAATAGATGTTTCCAAACAAGCAGAGGTAATTATAATACTATAAACGTTTTAATTATGAATTTTAATTGTGATTTGACATCAAGGGGGAATATGCTATAGCTATTGTTTCAATAATTCATGGTATTTATTGTTTTTGTTTCAAATGGATTGGAAAATTCTAGTGAATACCAAGTTTGTAATTTCTTTGAAAACTAATATGGTGTTGTTGAGAAGAATAGCCAGTCAATACGTAAGCTAAAGTTTTTTAAGACGATCCATAGTAGATAAAGCTGTTTATGTTAAATGTTTTATTTTCACTTTGAAAGAAATGCATTTTTTCATTACTTCAGCGCAAGAAAAACAGTTTTTTTTTTCTGTTGTTTTTGATCAGAAAAATTTGGACATTCATTTTTTTAATCGTATTAGATGTTGATGTTATTGCATCAATGTTTTTATGTAGTATTAGGAAGTGAATCATTTCTTCTAGTTTGGAATGTATGCAATCCGCAACCTATAAGAAGTAGTTGATTCATTATTGTATAAATATTTATTATAGTTAACAGAAATAATGCCCAAAACATACTCATTATGATATATACAAAATCTTTTGACCCATAAGAATTTAGTATAACAAGAGATTGTCGTATCCTGTATTATATAAAAAAATGAAGTTCATAGAAATGAAATTGTAAGTTCAAATTGATTTATCCCAAGCATATTTCTAATTAGTATTCAATTAATAGGGAAAATTGATACAGTCATTTATGAGATTCTTTTATATTATTACAGTTGAATATCAGATATCCAGAGATCTTTAAAAAAACAAAAAACACTTCTAACAGATATAAGTAAACATCTTTTATATTATGTTATAAAGCATATTGTCCTAAGAACATATTTTAATTCATTGAAGAGCAAAAGCTCTAATTCTAATGATAATAAGAAAATGTTTATATAACTACGAAACCATCAAAATTTTCATGCTTTATAAATTTGAGGAGGTATTAGAAGTATTGTTTTAGAAACATAGTGAAAAGCAAAAATTAATTACGGTACAGTATCTTGGAGAGACATAGTAACGACATTAATATCGGTGAGTATATTTATTCTTTTAGAGGCAAAAAGAAAATTAAAACAATTCAAGTGTATATTGCTATTGTTATTTTAGGAATACTAAAAAGATTTAATAGATTTATAACAAATCACAAAACTGAATAATACTCAGATAAATGTAAGTTAGCTATATCTTGAATTGAATTTGGTGCTTTTACGTATAATAGAGATGTTTTAATAATTACTAGCGACTAAGGATATTTATTTATTAGAGTCCTTTTCAAGTTTTAATTGCCAAGTATACTAAGGTTAATTTACACTTAACAGAGATATAGGACATCAATATTCCTTAAATTTGGTAATTTTCAAAATTCAAACTAAAAATGTTGTTCCTTTCGTTTAATTGCTTATTTTTAATAACAAATTTTCATATTGTAGTATCCAAATTACCATAAAATATTTGTAGTTTTATGTTACAATTGTAAAATTTAGTAAGCTATCATCTTCAATATATGGCTCAAAAGAGATTTTATCTTTCAAATTTATTGTTAAAACCACTCTTTTGTCCAAGTGTTAATTTAGCAGTGAAGACTACTCGCTGTAACTTGTGTTTATTCTGTATTTGAATGATTATTCATGTGTAATATTAGAAATCTCTACTACTTTATTGATAATATCGCCCCATTAGTATAAAATTTATCTTGAAAAAAGTTTTGTTGTGTTTTTTATTGCATATAATGCCTAAGTGTATCACTGACTATTTAAAGACAATATCATATTAATATAATTAATGATAATATTTGAAAATCTAAAAAATATGAGATGGTCTATATTTACACAGATATATTTGACATATTTGTTGTATGTTTGATTGAGTTTCTTTATATTATTCATAATGACTGTGTTTTCTAAGGATTTTGACAAATCCAGAAGATTTTAGAATGATTTATTGAAAAGCAGAAGCATGACTACTATTATTACAACAGTCCCATATAACCTGTTTTGATTTATATGAAAGAAAATCGAAGACAGGTATCCTTGGAAAACGAAGTGATTTGTAGTAATTGTTGGATGTCTGTTTCAAAAATATAATAATAGAAAACACTCTATCATTAAAACAGATTTGGCTAGCAGGGGTCTTAACAAAAGTAATTAATTAGGAAGTTTTCTGAGATATTTATTTATGTTTATTTGGTGTTTTATTATCTAACCCATGTGAAATTCAAGATTGAAAGGACTAATCTCTGTCTCTTCAAAAGAAAAATGGTTACCTACAACAGGATTCCAGTGGTTGTGTAATTTATGGATTTTACATGTCCCATTAAAGATTTTGCTTTCTTTTACAAGTCGAAAAAAATTTTTTTCTCTGACTGCAGATATTTTTCGTGAGATTTAGCTCGAAAGCCGTTGACAATAGAGTAAAAATTATTATGACAAAAACACTACGGCTTTATCCTAAAAAGGGAAATGTCCATTAAAAAAAGCTTAGATTTTGTTTTGTTTTTCCGAATTCAGT